TTACTCGCCCTGAGCCTCCAACGGCCCCTCTGGGATCTGCCGGGGCTGGGGGCCAGCGGGAATTCATCCGCCCCTGCTCCTGCCCCGTCTCCCATAAAGGGGTGAGAAGTGCCACGCACAGGGAGGGGAGCGATGGGGGGCTTGGGCCCAGCCCGGCCACGCTCAGCAGCTCTGCTGGGGCCAAACCAGGAGGAAAAGTGAAACTACGAAGCGCCAGGAAAAGTGTGACGTGGAGCACAGCTTGGCACAGGGTGACAGGGAAAGCGTGGTGGGCAGTGTGTGCCAGCATGGAGCTCGGCGTGGAGGGAGCAGGAGGTGCGGCGTGGATTGGCACAAGAAAAGCGGGAGTTGGAATGTGGCTTTGCGAGAGGGAGTCACGTTGTGCACCAGGGCTCAGTGCGAGGGACGGGAAGGGGGTATTTGTGCCACAGGTGGTGTAGGGAATGGGGGTCACACACCACAGCTCGGTGCAAGGTCCGTGCAATGTGCACTACGGCTCAGTGCAAGGGACAGAGGGACATTCACCATGGCTCAGTGCAGGGGGTGGGGGAGCACAATGGCTCAGTGCAGGTGACGCAGAGGGACATGCGCCGTGGCTCAGTGCAGGGGTTGGGGATGTTCACCATGGCTCAGTGCAGGGTGCAGAGGACATGTAAACGTGGCTCGGTGCAAGGGAAGGGTGACACGTACCATGACCCGACAGGTGGGATGTGTAGCTCGTGCTGGGGCAGGGGCTGAGCCTCCCGGCTGCATTCGGCACCCGGTCGGGCCATGCTGTGGGCACTGCTCTCCCTGGGGAGGTGCCGTGTGGCAGCACCACAGCTTGGCCCTCCCATCCTTCACAAGGACGACGTCGTGGAGTCCACCACCTCGCGACCATTGCACACCGTGGGCACGTACTGCGAGGCTGAGCCTGGCCAGGAAGGCAGCAGTCAGGGATGGGTTGGGGTCTGGCAGCAGCACCTCACAGCACCCCACTGCAGTGGGCTATGGGTACCCAATGTGACCATTTCACCCTCTGGCTGATGAAAGGTGCCCAGGGGTGGCCATAGCCCCTGGGGGTGGAGTGGAGGGTTCCTGGGATGGTGACAGGCACTTGGGGGCAGCTGAATCCCCTGGGCTGGGGTGGAGGGTGCCTGGAGTGGCTGTGTCCCCCTGGGGCTGAGGCAGAGAGTGCTGGGGGATGGCCATGTTCCCTCAGAGCAATGACGTGCCCCCAGGAGCAGTACCCCTCTGGCAGCTGTGCTGTCCTGGGAAATGAGGCATTGGGACTGGGGACACAGCATCCTTCATCCTCCCCACTTCCCATCAGGCCCTACCCCACCCCCCACTTTCCTTCAGGAGCCCATGCTGGGGTACTCCCACACACACCCCCACCAGGAAGGGGATGCTGCTCCCCCAGCCCTTCCCCAGCCTCACTGTGCTCACCTTGGGACTGGCTGGAGCTGGCAGCTGCCACGCTGAACCGAGCGGTGCCCACGCGGTGACTGGCCACATTCTTCTGCGGCTGGAAGAGTATGATGTGGAGCTTGGGGGTGAAGAGGCAGCCGAGGACCACGGTGCCGCTGAGGCTCACCGAGATGCACATGGTGGTGGTCTGGACCTGGAGACAGAGTGGGGGGCATCAGGTGCTCCACCCACGAGCCATCTGCCCCAAGGAGGGCAGGATGAAGCCCCAGTGGCACTGGCCAGCCCCACTGGGCACGGACTCCACCCTGCAGGGACATCCCACCCCATACCACACCACATCCCTCTGTCAGACCCATGGGCAGAAGATAGGGAATGCCCTTTTGGGATCATGTCATCCCTGCAAAGCAGGTACACACTGAGAAGCATCTCAGCCCTGCCAACATGCTGCTTTGGTACAGTGCCTGGAGGTAGAGCCCAGAACCCTCCACCCCAGTGCCCACTCCCTCTGGAGGATGCAGATCCTTTCTGGAAGCCCACGGCTGTAGCTGCCCCCACCGAGTCCTCAAGGCCTGTCAGAAACATGTTTGGTTGCCCTGCCAGGGAGCCTGAGGTGCTGCAGGGTGCATCCTGTGCTCTCTAGTCCCTGGCATTGTCCAGCTCCCCAGGGACCATGCTGGCCCTGGGGTTGGCCTTCATGCCCTGGGGTGAGACATCTGGATGGGCCAGTGACTCATGCTTTCATGTCACAAGGCTGAAGGATGACACATCACTCCTCCATGATCAGGCTGAGGGGCTCTGGAGGTCTCAGGGCCATTTTGCATCCTCACCCTAGCAAGGCAGAAGGGAGTGGGTCCTCTCTCCAGGACTCATTACCCCCTCAGCCACAGCCTTTCAAGATCTTTCACCTGGTCCCGAATGCCCCAGTGCAGAGGTGACCATCAGTGCAGAGGTGTATGGATGAAGACCCTTCCCCAGGCCCACAAATATCCAAATCACAAACCCCACGGGGCCCAAATCTCCAGGACCACTTAGATCAAGACCTATTAGAGCCCCCCAAAGCTCAAGCTCTTACACGGTAGTCGCTGGAGGTCACGTAGAAGATGGGCAGGAAGGCCAGCCAGATGATGCAGGTCGTGTACATGGTGAACCCAATGAACTTGGCCTCGTTGAAGTTTTCAGGGCATTTCCGTGTCTTGAAGGCATAGACCGTGCAGAGGACAATCAAGAGGACATTGTAGGTGAGCGAAATGAGCATGTTGGAGTCGCGGTTGTTGCACTTGAGGGTGACGATGTACCTCTTGTCAGGCTCAGTCTCCTTGCCTGTGCCGGGGGTCTCCACCAGCAGCCAGATGATGACGATGATGAGCTGGCAAGAGATGAGGGCCATGCAGATGACCACCTGTGACGTGGGGCTTATGAACCGGGGGCGCTGGACCCCCTCCTTCACCCCGCTGAAGATCCTGGCGATGCGGTTCGTTTTGGTCAGGAGGGCCGAGTAGCAGA